TAATAGCACCGTCATCATTGTTGTAGCCCTCCAAATTGTCGTCAAATTTTTTTCATCATTATTATTATCTTAAATAATGTTATTAATAATACGACAAATAATAAAACAAAACCAACAAAAACAACGAGACAAACAACAAAAACAACAACATCAATCTTCGGAATGGTGTCCAAACAAAAAGTGAACTGAGCGGAACAACGAAGTTAATTAATGTTTACCAGCATTCAGTTCATTTCTGCCTACAATTATATGCAAACAATTAACTACTACCTTCATATTATTATCCTTATTGTCGTCGTCTTAGTCATCATCGTCATTATCATTGTCCTCATTGTTTTCATCATGATTTTAAATGAATTTTTTTCAAATTTGAAGTTTTTGCAAATTTTTTCTTACCAAGAGATCAGAGTACCTGCTGCTCTTCGTGGAATGAAATGAAATACAGTGAAATACACTAGCACATCATCATAGCAAAGCAGGTTACATTCAATTCAATGGCCAGTTTCTTTGCTACTTATTTTACAAACACATTTAGGAGCCGTTCAATTTGTTCTACATTTTAAAAGATAATATTTTTACAATGAATCAAATGTTTTTTTATGATTTGTAAACATTTCAATACATCAAAACATCTGACGCCATTGTGCGTGTGTGTGATGTGTGTGTATGTGGTATGTGTCTGTGTGTGTATGTCTGTGGTATGTTTGCGTATGTGTGGTGTGTGGGCGCGTGTGGTGTGCGCGTGTGTGTGGGGTGTGCGTGTGTGTGTGTCTCTGTGTGTCTGTGGGTGTGTATGCGTGGTGTAAACCACATAACTAAGTGCAACAAATTAACAAAGAAACCATACTTTAAATAACACTCATAATTACTACCATTTAACATTCATAACCCCGACAACAGATAAGAGATTAAAAAAATAAAAAACACAACAATAATTACAACATCAAAATGACAGCATCATAACAATAATTAAACCACAACAAGAACATATCGCCGATAATTGCAGCATCAACAATTACAACAACGAACACTTGAACACGACATGCAACAGTAAGTTATTGAATATTGAATATTGTAGTATTTTTACTCATTTCGTAACTATTCATTTAATCTTAATTCTCTTTTTTCCCTTCATATAAATGTATGTATCCATCTGTATTTAAGTAATAGATATTTATATTTATTCAAGATGATAAAAGTCTAGTTAGAAAAATCGAGAAACTCAACTACCTATATATATATATATATATATATATATATATATATATATATATTTATTGGGACGAGGTTTTCAGCTATGCAGATTTCATTGAATATTTTTGCCCACTTAGCATTAATTAACTTTTTAAAAATACACTCAACGATATGGAATTGTTGTAAATCGTATTTATTGAGAACTAGTGACATAATTTGGCTGGCTAACAACGTTGTAACGGAGACTGTTCTGTTGGTTGTATCATCTCAACTGTTTGGGTCAATGAATGTGCTGGGTGTTTCTCTTTTGACTTCGTTGGATTTGAGCTCAGCCTTCGACTGCGTTGATCAGTTCTAATTCATTAGCTCAAATATTGTTTTGATGTCTTTGAGAGGGTAGCCTTGTGGTTCAAATCTCATTTAATTGGTAGGACGCAACAAGTGTTTTTAACATTGTTTTGTCAGGTGTCAAAGTTGTCGCGTCAGGGGTTCCTTAGAAATTGGTTCTAAGACCACATCTGTTTTTGTATTAAGAAATATAACTTCAAATATCATGCGTTTGCTGATGATTTGCAGATAATTTTTTCAAGAACTTCGGTTCTCATTTTCGAGGAGCCAGTTGATTTATTCGTTTCTTTTTTTAACGAAATCAATGGTTGGATGATCGAGAATGGACTGAAGCTGAATGAAAGCAAGACACAGCTTTTGCCTGTCAGTAAGCGGCAGCAGTTACAAGAAATTCGTATTAATTCAATCAATATTTTCGGTACTGCACTGTTGTCGATTTATGTATATCATTTAGAAATTTGGGTATCATATTTGATCAAATTATGACAATGAACCAGATATCAGGGCGCTTACTATAAAATTTTGTTTTCAACTTCGATGGCTTAGACAAATAAAAAAATTTCTCAACAAGGAAACACTAAAATGCTTGGTTCACTCATTTGTCTATTCTAAATTAGATTACTGGAACAGTGTTTTTTATGGAGTGTCCAACAGACTAATTGATCGTCTACAGTCTATTCAGAATTGAACGGCAAAAATCATTTCTGGAGGATTGAAGTTCGTTCATGTAAGCCTATTTGACTTTCATTGGCTAACAATCAGAAAAAGAACACTGTTTAAGACCGCCATTCTGGTGTTTAAATGCCTAAATAGTCTAGGCTCACAATTTCTGCCTAAAATTCATATAAAACAACAACAGCTCATCGTATTCCGACACGTTCAGACGAAAAATTGGCGGCCACTCGTGGTCGGAGGTGCGGTTGGTAGTGGCCACTCGTGGTTTTGCTGTCGCTGGGCAAACAGTTTGAAACAATTTGCCGAACAGTCTGCGTTAACCAGGAATGACTGTTCAACAATTTCGCATGGAACTGAAAACGTTTTTCTTCGTGCACCAATTTCACTAGACTTCAGAAGCGCCTCTGAGTAATATTTAAGGACGCTATATAAACTCTCTGATGATGATAATAATAATAATAACAATAATAATAATAATTGGTTGGTCGGTTGGTTGGATGCTTATACGCATCTATTAAACAGCTATTAAAACGACATGACGCAACTGAGAAGAAATTTATTTTTAAATTATCGTAAACAGAACTTTTTAAAATAAAAAATTTTCAAAACATCACAAACCGCAAATTGAAATTGCAAGTATCAAAAAATAAAACTAAACTGTTTGTTTAAAAAAAATGAAATGGGAAGAATTGTAAAGCATGACGCTAATCATTGTCATTCATCATCATCATTGTAACCATCCATCATCATCTTTATCATCATCATCATCCTCCTCGCCATCATCAGGAACGTTCTCATTAATCAAAATAATCGTTCATCAATAAATGAAAGGAATAATCATTCTTATCAATATTATCTTCTACTCGATAATCGTCATCACCATTGTCATCATTATCATCATTACGTCATCATCATTGTTATTATTGTTAATTTTTTTACCATTATACATAGTTAGAATTACCATTGTCATCATGAATATTATTATTGTTATATTTTTTATTATCATAATATTAATAATTGAAAATAATAATAATTATTATAACTATTATTATTATTATTATTACTCTTAGTAGTACTTTCACATCATCATCTTTCTAATCATCATAGATATCATTCATCCTACCGTCTTCAACATCTTCATTTCTTCATCAAATTATAATTACCTCGTCATCATCATACTCGTCATCGTCGTCATTACCCTCATCATCATCTTCCAAATTAATTCAGTTTTAAAAAAGTAATAATAAATAATATATTAAAAAATCAAATAATAATAATATTAATAATAATAATAATCATCAAAAACATCATCGTCATCATCATCATCCGAACCACTGTACTAAAGACCTTTTTGACTCCAATGATATCTACTGATCATCATCATCATCGGTATTATTATTATTATTACTATAATAAACTTATTGTTAATATTATTATTATTATTGTTTTTAGGTTTAAGATGATGATGATGAGGATGATTAGGATGATTATTATTATTGTTATAATAGTAAAATAATAATAATAAAACTTATTGTTAATAATATTATTATTTTTGTTGTTTTTAGGTTTAAGATAATGAGGATGAGGATGATGATCATCATCATCACCATGTTAATATTATGAAAAAATTATCATAATCATAATTGAATTCATCGCTATATCTCTATTGTCATCTTTTTATCCTTACATAATTATCATTCCGGCATCATCACCATTAACAACATCATCATCATAACTCTCATCATTTCGTAGTTTTTTCATTTTTCCGACTGACATTTGATCTAATGAAAAATAGATTTCGATTACCTGCTTGACTTGAGGAGGTCAGATATCCGATGTGAAGTATCATCACTGTCATCGTCATCTTCATCATCATCTTCATCCCCTTCTCCATCACTATCATTGTCACCATTTTTTCCATCATCGTCATCATCATTGTAGATGGGCAGATTTTTAAACAACAGTTTTAATCAAAATATTTTTAATCCTTATTATTAAAGTTGTTTTAAGTGTGACTATTTATGAATTTATTTAAAATTGTGTGTTATTAATATTCCTATTCAAATCGATCCAACCAAACCGAATCAACAACAAAATATTTGTTAATAGATCGCTATAAAATTAATATAGGTTAGATATATAATTTTATATCAATAACTTTTTTCATTTTCGAGCAAAATACTTTTTACGCAATAATTGAAAACTTCTAAATGTCACAAACTGTTAAAAATAATATTATTAATCATATCAATTATAATTAAATTAATAATAATTTTAGTTTTCATTATTAGTTTAAAAAAAAAGTTTATTAATTCATTTATCTGAGCAATATAACCATCTACAAAAGCAGAGTTACATGTTAACATCATGTCCACACAACCATGTAGTTAGTTGAAGCTTACTTATTAAGTATCGTATCGAATCGTATGTAGGCCTACTTGCACGCCGAGATTTCAATAACGACAACCGACAAAAACCAGCCTACAACGCTCAATTATATTGTTGAGCGTTCTGTCCAGTGTCACATATAACTTTGACTGTCCATGCAACGGGTGCAAACATTATATACAGGTAATCTTTCTCTTACTCTCTCTCATCTTACTATTTCTCATTCTTTCTCTCTCTTTTTCTCTTGATATAATATATATATATATATATATATATGTGTGTGTGTGTGGTGTGTGTGTGTGTAAAACATACGTACAAGTGTATAGAGATCACCAACGTCAACACAGCCTTCTAACAGACAGCGTAGATAGATGGTTCATAGCATAAACACGCACAACTCACACACATACATCCACAGACACACACACACACATGCACTGCAAAATATGCCTTCTTATATATTTCATTACATTTCTTTTGTAAGATGAATGCTAAACATCTGCAATGCAATCACAAACACACATGCACTCATACACACACACACATACACACACGCACACACACGCACACACATGCATACATATTATAAACATATGTTTATGTTTAAAAGAAAATGATTATAAATAAAAGTTGTTTACGTAAGTACAAAGAAGATCTACTTGTTTGATATAAACACGTTATTAAATGCTACAAAATTGAAAAAGTTATTGCATTATATTCACGTGTAATTAATTTTAAAATAAATAATAATTATAAATAAATAATTCAGCAGCCCACTGCAATAAATCCGCCAGAAAGTAAATTTTATTTAATCTCTTCTCGCTAATACAATCTGTGCCATCATACCGGCATGCACTTTATTTGCACGCAGATTTGTATGCACATGTACGAACCATACGTACGCATGCATATATACAAGTTACATACGTTCATACATACAAACATACATAAAAAAACATGCATACATACAAACATACAAACAAACAAACAAACATACATACATACATATATACATGCATGCATGCATACATACATAGATACATACAAACATATATACATACAAACATACGAACAAGCAAACATACATACGTACATACACACATACACACATGCATGTACGCATGCAGTTATTCTGATTTAACAGTTATTTTATTTTTAATTACTATCAGTTTCTATCAAACCAAGTCACATTCCACATGATGATACTTATTAAAAAACTCAATTATTGACTTTTAAATGACATTTAAATGCATTTCTATTACTTTTTAATCGGCAAATGAACAGCCGTTCACACAAACACATGCGACCAACCAACCAACCAACCAACCAGCCAACCAACCAACCAACCAACCAACCAGCCAACCAACCAACCAACCAACCAACCAACCAACATTCTCTACAACCATTCAGATACTCGGAGAAGAGTTGAAGATGTTCATTTGTAAAGCAAAAGTACTTAACCGCAATCGAGTGCATGGCCGGCCATGACAGGCTGGCAGCTCTTAAAACGTCAGATTGTTCTGTCTGTTTGTAGAGATTTTCAGACGTAGATAAATAGTTAGATATGTGCGGGCACTTTTGTTTCTGTGTACACCGCTGTGAACGACAATTCAACAAACATTCTCATAACAAATTATTTTTTGCTCAGGTTTAATTATGTCCCATGATGCATGTTGTTTAACTACAGAAAGTTTATTAATTCATAAAATTTCTATAATTTTGAGATAGGTAAAACAGACAAACGTCACATAAATTTGTTGAATTCAAAGTGGACTCTGTTTACTTTTTTCACAAATACAATACGAACACTCCTCTACCTCAATTCAGAGGACGTAACTGAACGTGTTACTAAAGAACAAGAACAAGATAATAATGTTGAAGCATCGATAGAGTTGAGTTGAACGATCGATTCTTCTACACGCAATCAATTCACTCCTCCCTCCAACTCCATCCAACTCCATCCTTGCACTTATTTAACCATATTTGGCATGGATAAATGACATTTAAATATCTACATAAAAATTTTTATAACATTAAACCACACTTCACACACACTTCACACACAAGCACAAACATACATGCTCATACTTACACATGCACATGTAAAACAAAGCATTTACTGTACAGCATTTACTTGTACACAAACAAAAAAGCTAATGAAAACACACCAACACACATTTAGAAACATATACACAGTTAGAAATACATACACTCGCAATCAATAGTTCATTATTCCTCACACAGACACCAACAATGCACCGGCATGCAACCAATCACCCAGCAAATCATGCACACATGCATACATATACAAACATACACTAAACATAAACAAACACATACAATGGATATATGTATCATCTAGAAGTGATACATATACATACATAGACACATTCAAACACGTGTACACAATACACACATATTCCAGCCCTCTCACACACACAGACACACACACAGACACACACACACAAAAGACGCAAGCATCGACCTGGACCTCATTAGAAAACAATTTCTCAAAGGCAGACCCCTACATTTACTTTGTGGTTGACATATCAAAGCAATCGATGCACATTTACTAGCAGGCACAAACACGCGCGCACATTCTCCTACAATGCAATTATACAAAATGTAACGTTATACAAAGATCAGAATGAACAAAAGCACAATCAACAAACTGGACGAAAATAAATACAAAAAAACAAAAACGAAAAGAGCACAACATACATAAGCGCATAAAATCTTTAAAAAATTTTTATGTATATACAAACGTGTATACATTTTGCTGCAAGCCCCATACTCACATGTGCATGCATACAAACAAATACAATTTGGCATGCATTATTTTGTACATACAAATATTAACACATACACCCACACTAACACGTACACATACATTCGCACCAGCACACACACTCACATGTGCATATGCAACAATAGACACACACGTTCACAAAACACACACGTTTGATCATACAACGGTGCTGTAATCACATTCAAATGCATACAATGCCCTTGTAGACATAACTAATTTACGGATGTAAATATATGCCCATTTTATAATTTTGCAGTATAATAATGTGAGTCGTTGTGTGTATGAATGCACTGTTGATGAAGAGATGAAAATGTGTGTGTGTTGTGTGTGTGTGTGCGTAGGTGTGTGTGTGTGTAGGTGTGTGTGTGTAGGTGTGTATGTGTAGGTGTGTGTTAGTGAAACTTCATGTTGTGTTCTGTCGTTCATCAGGTTTGTTTGTGTGGAAATTTGTATGTGTTTTTTGTGGGGAAATTTTAAGAAGATTGTTGCTTGCATACAAACACTTTTTAAACTCATGCATATTTTTATGCCTATACAACACAAACAAATCTAGAAATTTTCGGTATCCGAGTTTTCGGTCCCAATTTCGCAACACCGAAATTTTCGGTCCCAATTTTTTTAGTACAAAAAAATGAGGCAAAGGGGGATCCATGCCATCTAACCCTAACCCTAACCACTACACCACACCCGCAGTTCAAATTAAATTGATCGTGCTTGCATTCATGTAAAATAGTGATTGTATGTATTGCTTTGTACAATGGATTATTTGCGTAATGCTTGCATTGCATTCATGGATTTTCAGGTGATGATAGTAATTCAAGATATCGTTGCATTTGGTTTCAAAATTATGAAGTTCAAGTAAAAAGTTACACAATTTAACTCCGAGACCAAAAAGTCCAGGACTGAAAATTCCTTTATAGTGAAATCTGGGACCGAAAACTCTGGGACCGAAAATTCCGAATACCAGCACAAACACATCCATATTTCTACACACATACTTAAAGACACGTACACATTCGCAAACATGTATAGTCACATCGTAGCACACATATATAAAAACTTAAACATACAATGATTGGAAATAAGTTTTTAAAACACATACCTGCAATGTACACTCACACACATTCATACACATACAATCCTCATTAATATTTGCTGGTGCGTCCTGGTTCTTAATTTATGTGATTCATTAGAAAGAAATTGTAGGCATCATTTACATAAACTATATATACATTTACGTGATTTTTCTCTGTGCTTGTTCGTATGCGTATGTATGTATGCAGGTGGGTGTGCATGAATGTATGTATGTGAGTGTGCATGCATGCATGTATGTATATCTACAAGCATGGATAAATGTATGTTAGCTAGTTTGTAAGATCATTTTTCTTAGTTTGTGCGAATAGGTATGTAGTTGCGTTTTTGGCATGCAGGTTTGTATGTTAGCAGAACATGTTGGGGGAGGGGTATGTAGAAATAACTAAGTAACTTTACTTTGATGTCTTTGTCTTTTTGTATTATATATAATTTCTTTCTGTTTACCCGCAATTGAAAAAGAATGTGCGTGTGCGTGTGTGCGTGTTCGTGTGTGTTTCTGTGTCTGTGGTGTGTCTGTGTGTGTGTGGGTCCGTGTGGGTGTGTGTTTCTCTGTGTGTGTGTGTCTG